TTCCGCCGCTTCCGCCGCTTCCGCCGCTTCCGCATCGGTGACACCTCGCTCCGCCTGAGGCGCAGAGGCCGTGGTGTCACCGACCGCATCCGTCTGCGCGCCAAGCTCGAGGTCTTTGCGCGGCGGTGGTGTGCTCGCCTCCACATCCATATCCTCGTCGTCTGCCGCGCCATCCTGCTTGACCGCATCGACGTACTGCTGCTTCTGCAGCTCGTACTCCTTCCACAGCTCCGAGAGCTCGTCGGCCTTGTTGCGCCAGTACTGGCGCTTGCCGCTCACCTCGCCCGCCTGCCACTCGGCCTCGATGATGTGCTTCTGCTCTCGCTTCTGCTTGTTGCGCGTCGAGGCGCTCACCTTGCCAGTGAGTGTGCGCGGCCCGCGATTCTCGAGCATCATCGTGAGCAGCCGCTCGGGCTCGCGGAAGAAACGATCAAAGTAGTGCAGCATGTAGATGCCGCAGTCGCAGAAGTTGGGCTGGATCGGCACATCGGCGAGGATGTACTGGAGCTTCGGTAGGCACTTGGCCAGCTCCTCGTCCGTCGGCCGATCCGCTTCGGCCTCGGCCGGCTGTCGCGTGTCCAGAACTTGGATCTTGCGCATCGGACTCTCGGTCGTGCCGGCGGCGGGACTGGCAGCGTCGACGTCTACAGCTGCGCTCTCGACATGCGCATCCTGATTCGCTTGTTGCTGCGCACGTGTCAGCGGCCTTCTGTTCCTCGCAGCGCTCCGCTTGGCCCTGGCCGCATGCTCTTCTGCCAGCTTCTGGAAGAGGGCCGGCGAGATTCGCTTCTTGTCCAAAGCCTCCCGCCACAGATACTCGTAGAGCTTCTTGTCCACGTTCTTGTGCTCGCCCTCCAGGCTGTCGAAGATGATGAGAAAGGTCTGGCTGAGGTCGACACTGGGCGATGCACCCTTCGACGGCGTGCTGGCGCGCGAATCTGCGTCGAGGTGCATAGGAGCTGGCACTGTGTCCACGCGAGCGTCCCTACTCGGCGTGGGAATAACCAATGGCGCTAGCGGAGGCGTCAAGATTGCGTCCTCTTCCTGCCACGGCTTTGACTGATTCCATTCGCCGCCCGGAGACAAGGACGCGGAAGCCTTGGGAGCCGTGTCCAAGGCGGAAGCCACTTGCTCCTTCTCTTCATCACTGCCGATCTCGTGATCGCGATCGCCGTCTGTGCCGTGCGCGGTCAACATGTGACCCGGGTTGACGATGAGCGCCAAGTACCAGTGGTAGTTCTCGTTGATGGGCACAACGATGTACTTTTTCGAAAAGAGGTCCACCTTGGACGTCCACTTGCGCAGCTTGCGATAGGCGGTCTCGACGGTGCCTTCGGTGAGAAGCTTGTTGAAGAAGAACGTGTTGAACATGTGCATGCTGCTGGCGAGCTCCGGATTTCTGGCACAGATGTCCTCGAACAGCACCTTGAGCCCGAACTCGATCACGGTGTCGTTGAGCAGTTGACCGTCGTAGAGGCGATCATAGTCGGAGCGCAGCAGGGTGACGGCGCCGATCCCCTCGTACGGATACTGCAGCATGGGCTCGTGCGAGGCAGCATTGCTCGCCGATCGCGTCTGGACCCTGGTCCTTGTGAGACTGGCGCGCTTGCCCTTGCGGACCGAGATGGGGAGCTCGGGGTCGGGCGATGGTGACGAAGCGTCGCGCATGTCAACGTCGAACGTGGCTCTCGCCTTGGACTTTGGAGACTCGGCCTGGATGTCGAAAGTCTTCTTGCGCGGTTGCGGTGGACTGAGGTGACCGCGATAGCTGGGAGTGTTGCTTGTGTCGACATCAGGACGGCGGCCTTCGCCGGGCCTGATGGCGGTGCGAGTGGTCTTTTGCTGCTTGGCTTGGATGGATGCTTCGACGTGCGACAAAGGTGTGGGCTTGGGCCAAGGTTTGGCCTTTACGGAAGTGACCGCGCGGATCTTCGTGGCGGTGGATGGTGGCGGCAAGTAGCTGAACTTGCATTCGTCACCCATCGCCCGACGCATCAAGGCCGCCGCAGCTATGAGCGCTTCCACGTTCGTCGTAACGCCTCGTGCGATGAGGTGGATCTCAGACGCCTCCTGAGAGGCATGCGGATCGAAGGCAGGGAATAATTCCAGCAAACGCTTTACGCTCTCTGAGCCCTGCCGGAGGGTGATGGACAGGATGGCGTGCTCGAGCACGTCGTCGTCGCTATGTTCGACTCGACCGATATCGGTGTACCGGATCGAGAGTATGAAATCGGGAGCTGGGAAGAGATAAAGGTTGTTCTTGATGAACCTCGCCCCGAGTTGCTGGCCGTCCTGCGATCTCCAAATGTCCGACACAACAACGGCGTCCAGGCTGAGTTCGTGCGGGCCAGATCTTAAGGGGTCGTCCTTGGTACCGTCGGGCAAGTCGTGGAGCTTCTCTGTGCGCCTTCGTTTGGAAGCAGGTGATGTGTCGCTGGCGAAAGCACGCTCGCCCGAATTGCCGTGCTGACGACTGGACGCCGATTCATGAGCTGCGGAACCATTGAGGAGACGATGTGACGGTTGCGATGAGGCCTCTGGGGATGGATTCTTTGGTTTCATGCGTGAGGCGATGGTGCCAGCCGGGCGTTGATTCGAGCTGCTGGGCTGCGCCATCGGCTTGCTATGCGATGACGGATGGATCGACCGGCGCGGCTCGTTTGGACTTTCGAGCCGGAGTGGACCATCTGGACGCTGGTTGTTGCGGAAATAGAAGTTGTTCGGAGCTGCGGGCGAGATTGTCGTGGCTCCGTTCCTTTTCCTGTCTTTGGTCTGGAGGGCGGGGGCGATGTATGTGTCGTCGGCCACCAAGACAGGGCGCGGAGAAGTCGGCACGGGTTCATCGTCGTCCGAGTCGTCTATGACGACGGGTTCGTTGTCGGAGTGCTTGCGCGACCGGGTGGCGGGGCGCCGGGCGGATGCGGGATCGCGCTCGCGAGCCTTTGCCTTGCTCTTGTAGGTATGCGAGGGGGTTCTGTGCAGAGCGGCTCGATCGTCGGTTGGGCTATGCACGTGTTGGCTGCGCGGCGAACGTGATGACTGGGCTTGCTTTCGTCGGTCGGCATGCGAGCCCGTACGTATTGCAGTCTCTGTTCCCTCGCTATCAAGGTTGTCCCGATAGGAGTAGTTGTGGGTTGGAAGGGCAGACTTTCGGGCCGGCCGCGCACGCTTGGAGGAGCCGGGGCGGAAGGGGATGCAGTCGTCGTCATCGTCGTGCTTTGTGCTTCCGTCCCGCGGAACATTGATCTTTACGGGGACCTTTGTGCGCGGAGGCGGGTCGCGGGATTGGCTCGATGCGGACCCGCCGACGCCGTGCAAGCCTTCGAAGGCGCGGCGTTCCAAGGACGAGGTGCCAACTCTATCAGCGACCATGATTCGGCATCTGTGAGAGCGAAGGGGCGAGCGGAACGGGTGTTGAGGTGGTGATGCGGCGAATCAAGCAACGTGATGAAAGGATCGCGGGGAACGAGTTGACATGGCCGAGGTGTGGGTGGTGGCGTGACGAGAGCTGATGGAGTGTGTTGTGTTGCGAGTGGCGATGTAGACGGATGCTGATGTATATGTGTGTGTGGGTGAAGGAGGTGATGAAGGTGCGAAGATGGAGGGGTGTTGGCGACAAGCTCGACGAAAAGATTGCGGCTGCGGACGTACAACAACGAGTGGACCCTGAATCCGAGGCCGAGATCCGCTCGCCAACCGCAAGAGCTGAGCTCGTGTGTGACTAAGGCAGGTTGCGCGGACCGGTGCGGGACGAAAGTGCGCGTGCTGCCGATGCCGACGTTGACGACGTTGACGCTGAAGTGCGGCCGTGGCTGATGCCGGACAAGGAGCGGACGCCGGTTGAGCGATGGATTGGAAGGTGAGAGACAGACTGAAATGCTCGGCGGCGTGTGAGAGCGCGCGGTGGAAGCCGCTCAGTAGTCGAGTGCCGAAAACGCGGCGTGTCGCTCATCCTCGTTGGCCTGCTGGGAATAATTTGAGCTGCGATTCGCATCGTTGGCAATTAATTAACTCTGCTGCTCTTTCAAGCGAGAGTTGATCGATCCACTCGGAGACAGTATCGCATGGAGTTCAAAGAGCTCAGCAGTGCGTTTAGAGTACAGCGAGTCGTCATGTCGGACTCGATCCGATCGAATCGCTCCCCGTGCTGCCACGGAAGTGTGTCGAGGGGCTTTCATCTGGGTTGGCAGTGGGCGGGTTCGGTCACAGTGGCCGCCAGTCTGCCTGCCGTCTGCCGTCTGCCGTCTGCGGGAGGCTCAGTTCGGCTGCACCCGCAAGACAAAATTGCGCGCATTTTCTGCAGTCACACCTCCACATGAGCCGCAACACCGCACTGTCTTCTAAAGTCACAGTTCCGCACAAAAGGCCACTTTCGGCTCCACCGCGCAGACCTTCCAACTGGACGACGTCCTTATCTGAACACCCTTCTGCTGTCATACTCTCAGTACACGAACACTCTCCATCATGGATGACAATGCTGGGTTTTGGTTGCTGATGCGACTTGGTCGGCTCGAATAGATATGATCCGACGGGCTCACCATTCGAGGTCGACACCCCACTGCAAGGCGATAGGTAGATGAAGGAGCGGAGATCAGTACCATGCCCTCGAACAGCTTTCGGATCGACTCAGCTTGAGCTTGGCGGACACTTACGTTGGGGCTGACGAGGCGGACCGACTTGCCCTCCTGCTGGTGGAGCTCGTTGAGCTTGAGCATCTCGTCGTCGGTGAGCGTGATCAGCTTGTGGTTGGTCTCGATGCGGCTCTGGGTGACGCTCTTGGGCAGCGCCACGACGCCCCTCTGGGCGGCCCACGAGACGACCACCTGGGCAGGGTCGGCGCTGTGAGCCTTGGCGATCGACTGCACCAGCTCGTCCTGCAGCACGGGACCGCCGGACGATCCGAGCGGCGAGTAGGCCTGCATGAGGATGCCCTTGGACTGGCAGAACTTGACCAGCTCATGCTGCGGCAGGAACGGGTGCAGCTCCACCTGGTTGGCAGCGGGCACCGTCTTGGCCTTGGCGAGCAGCCTCTCGAGGTAAGGAACGCTCCAGTTGGACACGCCGATCGCCTTGGCCTTACCCGTGGCGGGCAGCTTCTCCATCTGCTCCCACGTCTGCTCGGGCGTCCAGTCGCGGTCCAGCGCTCGCGAGCCGTCCGGGTTGAGCGGGATCTTTTCGTCACCTCGCTTCTCGAGCGGAACAGGCCAGTGGACCAGCACAAGGTCGACGTAGTCCAGGCCGAGCTTCTGCAGCGACTCGTCCAGACACGCCTCGGGCTGGCGGTGGTAGGTGCCCCAAATCTTGGTCGTCACAAACAGCTCCGAGCGCGCAACGCCGGACGCCTTGATGCCCTGTCCGACTTCCTCCTCGTTGCCGTAGATCCATGCGGCGTCCTATCGGCGTGAAAAGAGGGTCCGAGATTCAGCAAATCGGCCAGCAAGGCACGGTGCACGACGGCAGGTGTACTTACGATGTGCCTGTAACCAGCACGGATGGCAGCCTCGACCGCCTTGGCCACCTCGCCAGGTGGCGACTGCCAAGTGCCCAGACCGACGACGGGGATCTCGGCGCCCGTGTTGAGCTTGAAGGTCGACTGACCAGGTGCGACAGATGGATACTGCGACATGATGATGGTACTGCCAGGTTGCTTGAAGGTGAGAGTTGACGATAAACTTGTTCTGAGCCTCGTGGAAGGTGGTGGTGGTCGCAAGGCAAGCTGGACTCCGAGTTGTTGTGAGGTTAAGAGCAGGACGCCAAGTAGGGTTGCACGGAGGATCTATCGGAGTTGCTCCGAGGATCGAATGGAGTTGCACCGGGGATGAAATGCAACTTGCACGGCCTCTTCATGACGATCCGTCGCCGAGATCTGATCGAACCTTCTTGGCCAATTTTCTCACACTTTTGCCGTCATTGCCGGCGCTGCGTAGCAATGGGACGGGTCGGCCCCCGAGCCTAGCGTACAGAGCAGCCGCAACCTTCGTCCTCGGCGACCAAAAGGTTGGTAGATCCAGCGTCGGCGTGGGGCTTCGGCAGTTGAGGTCGACGTGGGCAGCAGTGTGCGTGTCGATAGATTGCCGGCTTTGCGCCGAAGCGCGTGCGGCGTGGCTTTGCAGGGCGACTCGCGGCATCGGACCGTCCGCCCCGAGGTCTGAATCCAGCCAATCTTGAGCCCGATGAAAGTCAAATCGGGTCCGGGAAAGTCGGAGAACTCCGCACGGCAATCTTTGGATGAGGTGTTGCGATGGACATGATGCAGTCCTTTCACCCCACTTCACCCCACTTCGAGTAGCCAGATGAGGGCCTTAGTGACCAAGATCAGACAAAAGTTGAGACCGTCCTCCTCCTCCAAGTCCATCTCGGAAAGCGCTTGAAGCTGGTTGGCATTCGGACTGGGCCGGGTGCGTGAAAATAGTTAGGCTAGCGAGTGCGGATGTTACCGGCCTGCCTCCACGGCGGGGCCGTATGGATAAACGCCAAGATCGAGCTAGTCGCAGCGTTTAAAACGAGTGCGGGGAACGCGGGCGGGACCAAGCCAAGCGTGCGCGTGGGAGGGTGGCGCGAGCTAGCGCAAAGCTTGGACCCGAGTGTGGAGGCGCGGGTGTGTCTCACGCGCATCCAAGCTCGGGAGCCCAGCGTGGTGTTGCGGGGATGGTCGCCAAACGCGGCTACGCATCGCACCTATTGCGAGGGTCAGTTGACACAATCCCGCTTTGGCTTGTGACTGCTCATCCGAACTCGTCTGAATTTTACCGGCTTCACTTGCTCATCCAAGTCAAGGTCACATGCAATGGACCGCCTCGTGGGGGTGATGGATGGTCGGATCGCGATCGGCACAGAGGCTCGTGTGTGTGGGGGGACCCTGAAGCTTAAGCTCGACACGGGAATGCGCAGGGGCTCGCCAATTCTAACCGCATCCGCAATTGCGTCTCCAAACTGCACGTCATAGTCACCCTGGTCCGCGTCACGCTCTTGCTCGCTTCAGCAGCAGTCACCGCGGTTGTCGCAATCTCCCACCCCGCGAAATCGTCAAGTTGAGCCGGTGAAGCTCAAGCTCCCGCTTGCTTTTGCATGACACGTCGACGGCATTTGACTCGGGCGGTGATCTCAAAGCCACTAGCGAGCTCGGGCGTTGCCACCCCATCCTCACCGCGAGACCGACATGTCGTCACCGGTGCCCCTCAGACAGCGTGCAAAGATGCAAGACCTGCCCACCCTCGTTAGAGAACAGCAGACAGCGAGCCGGTACGTTGGTGTTGAGATGGATGTGGGGGAAGGGGGAGGCTTCATGCACAACCGGCTCGTGCAGCAAAGGCTAGATTCTTTGCGGATTGGCACGTTCAGCCCCACACGCCAAGTCACACGCTCGAGCCCGCGACGCGGGAATGCCTGGATTGGGCACCGCGATCGCAGGCTTTGCCCCACAATGGATGCGTTCCGTAGTGGTGGCGAACATGGCGTCGTGATGGCACCGGCGTTCATGCCTGCTGAGAGAAAGCGCCGACCGCGACGATCGGGCAGTGAGGCCACCGAGCGCCGAGCACCGAGAACCGAGCAAGGGCCGACCAAGCCCAGCCAGAGACGTGGCGGCGCGTTATCTCGCGTTGCCGGCCACACTGCCGGGCCTGGACAAACACAGCGCATGTTTGCCGGTGTGCAAACAGAAAGGGCTGCTTCATGCGTGACCCCAAGCTGCGGGGGAAAGTAGACAAGGCGCGATAGAGTCCGATACAGCGGAGCGGATGGTTCCGACTGGGTGGCGACGGTGCCAGAGCGGCGGTAGCACTCCCGACGCGCGCAATTTCCCACACTTGCTCGTGCCTGTGTTGAAGGTCCGGTCCGGCGCGCTCCTGTAGAACCGGCATGTTGGAGTTGAACCTCTGCGTCTGCCACTCACCGACTTTGCCCCACATTTCACCTGCGACTCTCGCAAATTTGAGAGACAGCATCGTCATGTTGCCAAGTGATATCCTCATTTCGAAGCGTCTGAGCAGAGACCCCAGCATCCGATAGAGAGAGATGCTGGACACGGGGGCGTCTCGGGCGGGTGCTCGCTCGCACTTCGGTCGACCGACCGGCAGCCGGCAGAATTCTTAAGTTTGAGTTAGGCACGAGAAAAAAGGCGGGGGGCCAGTCTTCGGCAGACACGGCGCTAAGGGGGAAAAAAAAAGGAAAGGTGAAATCCGAAACAGAGAGGTTTGAGGCGCTTGGGCTGTGTGCTGACAGACCGGCATTCTTGAGCGGTGGCGATGCAATGTGGGAGAGGCAAACTCGAGCGCCGCCGCCGCACCCACCTCGTGACGACGGCACACCCGCTCCCGACGGGCTCAGCTGCCTCGTCGACTTTTGACTCTATCCCGCTGTTCGTGTGGGGGATACGGGTGTGACGTTCCCACGACGAGACGATGCGCAGCTCCGTGAGTCGACGGAGCGAGGGCTAAGCTTTTGCGCGAGCCTAAACGCAACCAATCCTGGAAAAAGGGGAGATCAACGGGTCGGTTCGGGCCGCTTCCCCTCCCTGCCCGAGGCGGTGAATTTTGCCGGTGGTCGTCGGCACGCGCGTTCGGCAGGCAGCGAGAAACGCGGTGAGCAGCGAGGCAAAGTTAAGCCAGAGTTGAGCCGGGCCAGCAGCTGCGTTTCTCACGCGCCACTCTCGTTGAGCGGCGGCGATGAGTGGGATCAACTTGCCCTTTTCGATTTGATTTTTTTTTTTTTTTTTT